TTTCAAAATACATCGGATACAACCTGCAGGGCTTTATAGTTTACATCCTAAATCTTTTATTCGGGTTTCGGCTTTTGGATGATGCATGTAGGTATTTGTCTGTCCATAAACACCAGAATAAAAAAAGGTGGGTAAGTGGATGTCACTCTGCTGTACAGTAGGTTACAAGTGGGTCACTGTATAATGGATGCTTTTAAATTTGAATTCAATGATACAATATCATTGTATAAGAAAAACGATTCTGAGCGAAGACGGTATGTCAGTCTAGGTTTAAGACAAATTATATACAAATCTATGGTATTAAAAAAAAAATTGACTTATAATAAATTCCAAATTAATCATATCACATTATCACAATATCCATTAGGTACTTATAACATGTTATACATCAACATCAATAACAAACCCTGATACTATCATAGATATATAATAGTACACTTTAGAAGTTTCAAGTAGGTACCTCGTACCCACGAATAATATTATATAATCACAACAAAATAACTAGGTTTTTTAATATGAAATTTCGTCCAAATTTGAACATAAAATGACTATAAAAATAAACTGTGATTGTATATTTTTTAGATTTTTCGGTAAGAGAATTAACTACTTACGTAGAATCTTGTTTTAAATTTTCAATCCTTAGCTATAAAAACTGAACATTTTATAATTTATTAATTACGATGATTAATAATTTTCGAGATTTTGAAAAATTCTGTCAAAATTCGATGTTAAAACGCTTATAAAAAAAAATTGTGCCTATGTATTTTTAATATTTTTCAACTGATATTGTAACAATATATCAGGAGCCTTATATTAAATTTTTACACTTTTTGGCCCAACAGATAAAACTTAATTGATATTTATAGAAAAAAAAAACTAAAAAAATTGAAAACTGAAAATGTCCGTAAACGGCTCAAAAAGAGTCAAAATATTTTCAAAATTGTATGGTGTATAGGAAATGCTAATATAAACATTCAGTGAAATTTTCATGTATCTACAGTAATTCGTTTTTTAATTACAACAAAAAAAGGAAATTGCCACATGAGAAATCGAGTGAATATCCAATGTTGTAAAAATTTGAATTTCAAACGCTCATAAAAATTTAATTTGACTTTCCGGTAGAGATTTTTTTATTGATAAAGGTAGACAATCTTATGAGTAATCTTGTATTAGATTTTCAAATCTTAGATTTAAAAAGAAAAATTTTTACGAATTCTTAACTCAAAATAATTTGCTAATTTTCGTGATTTTTCCATATTTTGTCAATTTTTGAACTTTAAATGCTTATAAAAAAAAATTGTGACTAAGGATTTTTAATATTTTTCATCTGCCTTTGAAACAATATATTAGGAGCCTTCTATTAAATTTTCAAGCTTTCGCAACCAACAAATAAAATTTTATTGATATTTCTAGAAAAAAAACTAATAAAAAACGAAAAATGAAAATGTCCCTAAACAGTTCAAAATAAATCAAAATATTTTGAAAATGTTATCGTGTATAGAAAATGCAAATATAAACAACCAGTGAAAATTTCATGTATATACGTTCATTTGTTTTAGAGTTACACCAATAACCAAAATCGATTTTTTGGAAAATCAATTTTGCGTAAAAATTCCCGTTTTTCCTTAATTTTTATGTTGTTTTTCCCGGCGCTTGTGAAAACTACTGGGAAATTTAAATTTTGACCTCCCCAATGCACCAACGATATTCACTTTCCAATCGAACAAGATACTGAAGTCGAAAATCGAAGCATTATTTCGACTACTTATCGTGTACACAGATACAAAAAAAAATAAAAATAAAAAAATAAAAAAATAAAAAAACACACATCATTGTAAAATCAATACATTCATCGTTTCACTCAGAATCTAAAAATGAAACAAACGTTTGGGACTTGGGTGTTAAGATTACTTAAGAACCGTAATTATTCGGGTTAATTTTGGTTTATATGGGTGTTAAGTTGTTCAGAAAAAACATAATTTTTTATAGTAATTTTTATTAATTAACCACAAGATCAAACTAACCTGCACATAAATATAGAAAATACAGTTTAAAAAGTACATAAATTGTCTACAAAATTGGCTAAACACAGTGTAAATATAGGGAAACTGCGGCTTTAGGGGGGGGGGGGCAGATCCCCCCCTCCCCTGGATCCGCCGATGGTCCACTAGGCCAAATAATGCTTCTTAAACCATAAATATTGTCAAATTATTATAATCGTTTTAATGTTTTTTTGCGATAGTTATTAATTTTTTTTAACGTTTTAGATTAAACTTGTTTTATTTGGTCGGGTTGAGTAGGCGATTTCCCTTAGTTTTAGTCCATGTGAATGCATTTGGATAATATATAAGTATAATGAAAACGGCGTATTCAAAACGCAATTTTCCGCATTGACGGGGGGATTTAAAATATTATTGAAAGAAAAACTGATGTTAAATTTCTAAATGTACGTAATTTGAGCAAAATATTGGGAGGGGGGTCATCAACCCCAACCTACCAAAGGAAGGTCTTGGGTAGTCAGTTGTACTATACTTGTATGGTTGGCATAACTATATTATATAGTGGACATTATTTTAACATTGATTATAACTATTTAATATTTTGTACATCAACCATTTTATTTGGTTAAATTTGAGTTACTATTTTATATAGTTAAAATTACTTTTTGACTTATTCATTTTAGTACTCTCAACTAAACACATTGTTTGATACAACTAAATAAAACGTTACGCCAACTCAAAATTATCCAACTATTTGCTATAACCAAATTTTTTTTGTCCGTGTGCCCCCGAAAACGCAATAAATTGAAATAATTAATTATCTAAGTAAATTGTATTACATTTTCTATACATTATATCAAATATTTTACTGAATTATTTTTGTTTTTAGATCTGCACACGGAAAAAATAACAGTTGTTTGTACTATAAAAGGCCTTAGGCCGAAGGTATATAAATTGTCATGTACAGGGCTAGTGCGAGTTCATGCATTTTGCATATCAATCTTGCTAAGTCGTATTTTATGCTAGGTGACTACATAGAAATCCATTTCAAGGTATACTGTGGTTAAGTATGTGAAATTTTATGTTGTATACCTATTTTTGCATATTTAGATGTTTTTTTAACTATTTGGAATATTTATGCGTTTTTCTATTTTATTGTGTATATTTTTACCGAAATTTGATCAAAATGCAATAATTTATATTTTTACACAGTATAAAATATATGGAAATTTTGGCAACATCAAATTATTAAAAATAAAAAGTACAGAGCAGATAAAGTGAGTACAAACGTATACGTATACGAATGTATAGGTACCTACGTATAGCCCTCAACAATTAGTAGAAAACATGTTATATGAAAATAGTCTTTACTCTTAAATCTTATAGTCTTATCTTCTTGATACTTTTACAGTGGTTTATACTGGTTTATTCTAGACTTTAACAATATTTCGAAAATCTTATATATTTTTTAACTTCGTTTTGAAATTATCGATCATGCCGGAAAAAAACTGGTCATCGGCCCGTAAACTAAGACAATTAGTAAATGAATTTGGTGAAAATATATTCTCGGCCGACAATAAAATATTATTTTGTAAGGTTTGCGAAGTAAAAGTCGTGAGTGTAAAACGCTTTAGTGTTGTGCAACATATTAATACTGAGAAACACAAAACATCACTTCACCGACTGCAATATAATAAAATATAACTTTTAATAATATGAATGGACATTTTATGTTATTCCAAAATTTACTTATAGTATTTTTATTTTTTAATCTACATATTTTTGATACATATTTTTAGATTTTTAGTGCATATAAATGCATATTTCTGAACTTTTAAAGGCATATATTTCAATGCATATTTTTCCAGCTTTTAGTGCATAAGTGCATACTTATTTAGGCATTTTTAAAGCATGAACTCACAAGCCCTGACTCATGTATAATATAATGTATGTAACTATATTCTTAACTACTTACTAGCTGGCAGCTTAGCACAATTTTTCGTTTAACTAAACCTAAATTTTCCGGTATGTTATACATTTTCTATCCGGTTGCGATTGCTGGACTCTGGCTACCAGGGCCGGGGATTGGTTAGGCGAGCTACCGATCCAATTTCGGTGGGCCGCTTAAAGCTTGGGCCGGTCGTGTAAGTGTGAGTGAAAATAAATTCATGTTTAAAATATAAGCTCGTAATAATTATAGACGTAATTTTGGTCCACTGAATATGTAAATGGGCCACTTAGAAGTGAAAATCTCGATGGACCGATACATACCAAGCCGGCCCTGCTGTCTTTATAGATAATACAATATAATATTGTTGTTATTCTGCAATAATAATATATTATCTATTCTACCTACATATTATGTCGCAGTGATGTAGTGCTTAATGTCTATATTATATTATAATAATAAATGAGCACTGTAGGTCAATAACGATTTTGTTTTAATTTATTATTGCCGCCTTGTACAATTTTGCAGTGGTGTTTATAAATACTATGATTGTATAAGACATTGAGCAATCGCCGGCTCGGCGAAGGGTAAAAATCCAAGAACTCTCTCTCTGGCTCTCTCTGGCACTCTCTCGTCTCCGCCACCACCGCCGATGGGCGGAGACCTGACCGCTCGTGAAATTTCCCTATTGGTTCATTCGGTCGGGACGGAGGCGCGCGCCCCTCGGAAACTCGTTGCTGCTGCCGTCACCTCGTCCGCGCGCGTTCAAACGGTCCCGCGTCGTCGTGCCGTCCGCTTCTGCGAGCGCGCGCTTACATTTTTTCATTAGTAACTATTTTCGCTCGCACACCACAGAACACGATTATTGCTCGTACGGTTTTATCCCGGAAGATATTGTTATCGGTGGTGTGCCTTTATTTTTACTCAACCGACCGCCGGCAGCCGTATAATCTCGCACAGTCCACACGATATAAATACCTGTAGTAATCCTACCTGTACGCGTGATAGGCGTAAATTTAAAACCCAAGAGTCAACCGATATCCACCGAAATCATGTTGATGATGAACGATCTGGGGTCGATGGCCGCCGGCATGATGCCTTTCGACCCGATGTGCGGCAGCATCTACGAGCAGCAGCCGCCCAAGCCTCGGTTCATATTCAAAATGCCGCGGGTCGTGCCTGACCAGAAGAACAAATTCGAAACCGACGAACTCTTCAGGCGTTTGAGTCGCGAGAGTGACGTGAGTATCTTATTTTGCCTCGACTTATATATAGGTAATAGGTATATTGTTAGCCGGTAGGTATAGGTATAATAGGTACATATTACATATACCTACTAAACTTAGCATCTATTCACATAAACTTATTATCTAGGTATTCTACTTATATACCCATAAAGGTCTCAACTTATACCATGTACAGCTTATATTTCTTTACCTACCTATATCATTATATATGTACCTAACATCCAGCGGCGGATTTCCAAAATATTTCTGGAGAGGTCCTAAAAAATAATTAGGGACCTACATTTTTTTTTAAAACAAGTACACCTATATATTGACTTTATTCTTTTAAAATATAGATATACATCGGTGTCTGGAGGGAGATGGTCAGTAACCCTATGCAATACCCCTATAAACCCACTACTAGTAGTACCAATAAGGGTATTGATACGATAACTGCACATTAAAAGTTTAATTTATGATGAAGTGCAATCCATAAATTGTTCAATACATAGTAATATAATATATTTGATATTTGCAGGATATATATATAGGTAACTTATCTTGTTTAGTTGTTTATATTCAGAAGAATAGCTTATAGCACTGAATATGGCTTTCAACAGTGGCGGATCCCGGTCTTAATTTTGGGGTTGGCATGGAGGGGGAAAACTAAAAAGTACAAAAGTACATAAATTGGCTAAACACGGTGTAAAACAAAGGGAAACTATGGCGATTAGGGAGCAAATGTCCCCTTTACACTCCCCCTCCCTGGATCCGCCACTGGCTTTCGAAGTGTAGACTATTAAAAAAGTAGGTAGGTATAATATGTATAATATAAAATTTAAGATTTACCTAAATTATTTTTATATGCAACAGCATTAAAATTTGGCCAGGGAGAGAATTGAAACATTTAGGTACCTCTATCGCCCCAACACAAAAAAAAAATTGGTTACATCATAAAAACTTCTCAGCCTAACTATTTGGATCTGTGTAATGTAAGTATAGGTACATATAGAAATGCATGCACACAATAGAGTATATTCGTGGAATAATCTGTGTAGGCCTAAAGTAGGTACTCAAAATTGCAAACTTCAAAAGGTTATAACTTTGAAACTATAAGTCTGACCGAGAAATTAACAAATTCTGATTGCACCATTGTACTTAACATGTTGAAATACACAGGTTTTTTAAAAAAAAATCCCAAAAATCACCTGCGAGCTGAACTGCATTGTTATAGGTATTTCAATATATTTGTGCAATTGCAATTATTGTGATTACTCATTAGTGTTTATTACGAAGTAGTATATTATCTTATTAGTTAGTTATGTACAGCTACCATAGGGAATTCGGGTTTTTATACGCAGTTTCTGTAAAATATACTATGTATATTAGTATTTAGTAGGTTCCTAAAAATAATAATAATATATTTATAGTTTTATAAGTCGATAAGATATCAAAATATCACATCTTCGTATCTATTATTGTTATGGACAATTTACAGATATTTTCAATTTATACTCACTAGTTATATAAATGATCGCATACTATACACAATGTAATAAATAATAATATTATATATATAAAATTATAGTATATTGTGTGAACATTTATAACTGAAAGTTACAAGTATAGGTGAATTACTTATTTCGTAGGTTTACTATTTTATTCGATGACCGTGGTAGAAAATACCTATACATTTTATTTAGATTGTATGTTCAACTGTTCAAGTAAATGCGTAGCACTGTTTTTTTAAATTGTTTTTTATTTATACAGGTTACTTGATTTTTTGAGTTAATAAAGTTCAAGTTACTCAGAGTACACTGTATAAGTGAACGATGAACGTTGTTGCAGAAATAATTTTTTTGTTATAATATTCTTATACCTATAATAGGATATTTAAACTATAAAATTTATTTGTATTGATAGTGTTCAATGTGTAATAACTAATAAGTATACATAGTTTGGAGCAACTGGTAGAATGTGTATATGTGCTTAAAACGATTTTCGAGTATCTCGAATCAGCCCCCGCTGGGTCAGGTTTTTGGGTGTAAAGACTGTTATTTATCACGTCATGGTATATGAATAGCATTTTGAGTATTGAATTTTCAAATGAGAAAAAGTCGGCTGGCAATATAAATGGCCCAAGTCTTCGGGTATTGTGTAACTGGAATTCGGTGACACAGTATATTTTTTTTATTATTATTATATAGGGTTATATTACGGTTATTATTATTATAGTAGGGTTGAAAATAAATACATTAAACTTAACACTGATGTAGTAAGATATAGTGGTATGGACTATAGATATTACCTACATGGCTATTGGAACAAAAATACATAATAATTTAACGTCATCAGACTTGAATGTATATAAAATTGTTATAAAACTGTCTACACAGAAAATTCAAGTATAGATTTATATTTATTGCTTATTAATATAAACAATATTATTATAATGTCTACGGTTAAATTAAACTGTCTCATAAATAAAATTATGCGACATCCGATTTTTGTTTAACATGATTTTGTTGACATACTTTCTCACCCTTGAAGAATATTGGCACATTTAGGTTATCATAACCAAAGAAAAATTACTTCGTTTTTCTTCCAATAAATATTTTTATGTAATTTATTTATTTTATATTTTATAATTTATATAGACTATATTATTATAAATATGTAAAAATAGAATTTAACAATTTATATTATTCGTATTATTTTATAATATTAATAAAATTAAACAAATGTTTAGATAATTCATATCTCTTTGTTAGGTTATGTAACTCTCTCTCTCTCTATATATATATATGTAAGTAACATATACCTAGCTATTATATATACCTAAGTTGTTTTATTTATTTTGTTTTCCGCTGTTATAGAACTACTATGGCAATCTAAACATAAATAAATAATAATTAAAATAAAAAAGACAGTTATGAGTATTTAAATATAAAAAATATCTTAGAAACACATCCAGGAGGGAGGACTAGAAAAATGTAAGGGGGTTAGTAAAATTTTAATGTACCATAGGGTGTGGGTTTATTCAATAATATAGTAAAATATACATAATATTTTACGTCAATGTAGGTAGCCCGAGGTAGATATGTATATAGTCTCATAAACGATGGTGTTTCAGATTTTTAAATAATATTCGTTATATGACAATGTTGACTGACCTGTTCTAAATGGTTTTATGTACTTTTTTATTATTACACCCTGTTATATACATGCTGAATATTCTGAATTTGTGACTGTGTAACAAGTATGTATACTGAATGAGGTATATTATGTTGAATGTTATGTTATGATGAGTAATTCGGTTTACCCGATGTCCCAATCTATTTGTGAATTTTAATAATTATATTAGCTAAAAAGGTGAAAGATTGTGCAATAGAAAATAAATGGTGAATCATGAAATTTTCCCGGCCTTGAGTGGTTGTACAAAAGTGAGTGTAGTACCCATTTTGGTATATAATATGTACGTATATAAAACAAGTTTCATTTTTCTAGCGGCTAATTACAATAGACACGTTTACGAGTATGAAGAGAGTTATACCAACTAATTAAAATAAAAAGATAAATTCACAATTATTGTTATGGCACGAAAGGTGCCTAAAATATTAAGAACTTATACATATTAACTACAAAAGGAATGACCGTTGGCTCACTTTTTATATTAATTATATTATTAACTCATTGAGTTTTGTGACTTAAAATTTTAAAGCTCAAACGCCTCAAACTACACAACTCAGTTCACTAACATAGTAACATGTAATCTACATTATGGCCACACATAGCACTTTAGCAGTTTAAACGAGTGGGTGAGCGAGTTGCATGTTGCGTTGATCGCGGAGGTTGAAACTCGAGGTTTGGCTGTTTTGATAATTTAAATTATTAATAATATATTAAATATATGATATATTTGATAATCATGTACCTAATTTCCCAAACAAACAGAAATACAAAAAAATTAAACAAACTAACTTATCCCGTTGACGGGGTAATAGTTATCAGTTATCACAATACTATAATTGTTGAAATAAAAAAAAAAGACATAGGAAACCACAGAAACCTGCAAACAGTGCAAAGTGCTTTCATGTTGAGTTTTATTTCTTTAAAATCAATAATAGTCGACTGTTTAAAAATGTATTGAGTTGTTAATTTTGCTAGATACCTTTAGACCCTAGTATTATAAAAAAAGATTTTATTTTATACGAGTACAAAGTACAAAAAATGCATAGCTGACAAACGTAATTGGCTAACATTGCATTAACTTTTGTCCTTTTCATTATTAAATTTTTTTAAAACTATATAATTAACAATAGTTACCTACCGCATATAGTAATTGAAAAAAAAGTTTATAAGAACAAATAAGTTATTGCATAGTTCATTAGGCACATATTTTGTAGTCAGATACTCGGTACTCTTTCTATTACATTATGTAGAGTCAAGGTATTATTATTTTAGTGTTTTTATACTACCCAGCCACTTTGAAGTTGGAAGTTCTTATAATATTCATGTACCTATGTTATATAGTATGATACAATTTTGAAATGTTAGATTCAACACAATACATTCTTATAATATATTATAATATATATACATCCCGAGTTCTTATATTTTGTCAAATATGCATAATAAAAATCAGAATATTAATAACTTGTTTTATAATATAATGATTTTAGGTTCGATACACCGGTTACAGAGACCGACCGCACGAAGAACGCCAAAGTCGATTTCAAATCGGATGCCGTGAAGGTCATGTAGACATTGTAAGTTCTTTTTAATTTTAAACACATTAATGACTAAAATTATAAACTCGTATTTATTTATATTTTTTGATTGTGCACAGTAACTATATTACCAGACGTATTACTTATTATCTAAGGCTAAAAAACGAAACCTTAATTTTTGTATAAAATAATAAATATAACATTTATATTATACATTTCATATTTTATTTATTTCTCTATGTTATAGGCGTTCACCGCGACTGGAACCAATTTGCAATTGATGTTTACTCCAAACATGCCAATTCCTTCATACCATCAATCTGCCAATGGCACTTGTAATTTCGAAAAAGAACGAGGAATGGTGAGTAAAACGGATAAAAAAAAATCCTTTACGATTAACCATAATTTTAATTTACTAAAACCGACTAATATGTACTAAAATATGTTCGGTATGTTTTTCTATTCGTATAATTAATTGTTTACATTATTTGATGTGCTACTGCATAGCTTTGAAACAACATAATATATATTATTGACAATAAGATAAATAGCCGTTGTGAACTCAATATAATATTATTTTGCGGTCGAAATACTTTAAGCCATTGATGATTACATATGGTTTTATCTACGTCGATACGACATGTTTTTAACTATTGCTGTAAAAATATGATATAGATTCGGGTAATTTATATTCCCACGTTACATGATTTAACGTGAGAATAATGCCTACATAATTTGCAATTTTGTTTGATTACGTTATCACGACAAAAGCGCATCAATAAAATAATATATATTTCTTGAGATTATATATATTTTTTAAACATAATATAAATGTACACAGTCATATAGTTAATTAATTAGTTCACTAAGAATCGTGTTTGCATAAATATTATCGAGCCTGAATTTTAAAAGACTTCATTTTGTTAACATATGAATTTTGTATTTATTATTCTAATTAAATTTAATATACAAAAATAAGCGCATTATAAAGTTCAAAAATTGATTAATGTAAGCACTTTATCTAAACATGGTCACATTGCACTGCTTCGAAAATATTAGGTTAATTTAGCCAATTGGGTGGACAAAATCACTCCAATCCCAAAAAAAGCAATGCAAACAAGTGAATCCGCAGTAAACTTATTCTTCTTGTATACTCCTTTCCAGTATTGGTACGAATATTTGTCTTCATAACTTGCTTGTTTCTTTTTCTTCTCTTGACAAGTCATTGTTGAAATTATTATTTTATTGCAAGTAAAAATTGATGATAATTATTTTATTTTAATAACTGAGACAAAAATAATAGAGCTATCGATGCATAATATTTATTTATTTTAATATTATAATACCAATACAAAATCTGTTTAATGGTACTAGCCAGCTATGGTAATAATTAAAAATAATATAATGAATAATGATTTGATTGTACAATATTGTACATAATATTATGAACAATTTAATTTAACTAATACTATTTAGTTATTTGGTATATTTAATTTGAATTTATCCTGCACTTCAAAAGTTTCTAGCTAGGTATTTAGGTTGGTATTTTGGTATCTGGTGTATTTTTTTAGATATTTCATGTCATCTTTAAAGACTCTTGTCTCATACAACTATCGAATATCGATTAGTATATTATTGGTATACCGTATACCTACTAATGAAATGATGGGCATTTTTATTAGCTTAAGATGTAGTACGAAATATTTTCTAAAGACGAATGCATTTAAGAGGTATACATAATAAAGTACCTACATTTGCGTTACATATATACTTATACTTACTAATTAATTATATTTACATTCTAAAGTTCTAAACGAAAGATCGGATAGACCAACGATATGTATAAAACGTATATACTCAATGAGGTTTTATCATATATCACCGATAGGAAATCACAAAAACCAAATAAAATAATTATAGTTAGCCTGAACCCGAACACATTTCATTAAGTACACCCAGTATATAGGTTCAGTTCAAATTATAATTAAAGCATAATATTAATTAATATTCGTACACTGATATACAGTTATAGATACATAGGTATAAAATATATTGCGTAAATTGTAGTTTATATGGATAGGTATTAGGTACATATATATTGGATATAGGAGCGTAAACCATTTCAAATTTCAATCGTTCATCCAGTTTTCAAAGCTAAGATATCATATAATATACTATAATAATATATTATGTACGGGTGCCGTGTAGGTGATGACGGCTGTAGCGCACGTTTCTTTTCACATATTATATCGATTAATCAGTGTTCCACTCATACATATAGTCCGTTTTAGGTTGTCAAAACGTTCTGTTGGGACTTTGGGAGACATACAAACATGGCAATTTTACTCGTTTATATAACACACTCATACAATATATGTATACGCAGTGTTATCAATGTAATATATTATTATTACATTTCATCAACAACTGAATAGTATAACAATAACAATATGGACGCGTTGACAATCAATGGGGGGCAGTGTTTACGCGACGAAAATGCAGCAGGAAGAGGAGTGTCTGTATGGATTTTCGCGTAGATTACGATTTTTTTTTTCACAATAGAGACGCACACTTATATTGTAGGTTTGGTATATTATATTCAGAAAAGGGCAAGTAGGGGAGACAAAAAAGAAATCCTTTTAAAATAATAATATAATACTCGTAATATTCTGCAACTATATACATTATATAATACGTATATGTATAATGTACGCGAGAGGGACGCGTTCTCCCTTTTTTCCTCTGGGATTTATATTATTATTGTCACACGCACACACAGACACAGCGCACATGTAACATCTCACTCGGCTGGAATGGTTCGTACGCACGTATATACCTATGTATATAGTATATGTACCTATGTATATAGTATATGTACCTATATATATATATATATATATATATATGTGTGTGTACCTATGTATATATATATGTGTGTAGCGACGGCGGTGACAAATACGTGTATATGGTATATAAGGGGAAACGGAAATCAATAGTGAAAGAGAAAAAAGGGCGCAAAGGGTGCCGCTTCGCCGCCATTTTGTTCCGGGCGCACACCAGATGCGACGGCCATTGTAACCGATTTGCCGCCAGTTTAAGTTTAAAAAAATGTAGGAAGTCTTGTATACATATATATATATATATTATAAAAATGGAATATCGCCCGAGTGTATGTGTCGCCGAAAAAAAAGACCGACAAAGACGTTATATTATTATACTTTCTTTATCCTGCAGCCGAACAAAACGTTTAATCGGATGTTCTACTTTATTTTTTTCTTTTACGACTTTTTTCTTCTCGAACTCAATCGTATAGCTGTTAAAAAAAAAAATGGGAAAACAGACATCCACACACTTTATCATACACGCATATACTTCACACGGCGGTAAACATCCGAAAATATAATATGTAAACATATTATATTATTATATTGTAAGCATCATATTATTATTGTTTGGAAATGCGTATTAGACGTCACTGCAGCAGAATGCAGACACCAACATAAATCATATAATAAACATAATATATGATGGGATACTATATTAAATATTTTATAAGTTTTACTATGTAGTACTATTGCGTGGTTATACGACACATAAAACCGTATAGGACTGCGACATTATTGCAGGACATGGCCAATATTAAACCGTTATTTGACTATATATTTTTAGGTATATAATATAATATGGTTATAAGAACCTACGTAATATTATTGCATTAAATTGTAGAAACGGAAAATAAACATATTTTTACTTAAAAAATATTAGTATCAAAAACTACATATATGAACTTGTTGACTGTGTTGATTATAGGTAGGCTCCTACTAAAATTTACATGTAGGTATAGGATTTAATTAAAATTAAAATATAACTATTATTTTATTATAAACTATAATCATTTAAGCATACTTGATAGTTGATGTATATAGTATATGATTAAAGGGAATTTAGGTTTTGTTTCCAATGTAGGTAAAACATTAGATACTCGTATATTTAGATAAACAACTTTATATATCCCCGCCATAATGTCTGCAGAAATGTCTTCAAATTATTTGAACATTCTTTGGTAGCAATACTACCTATTGTTGCTTTCATACTAGTTTTATTTTTAAAGAACATTCTAGATGTATGTTTTCCAATGTGATATAGGTGTATATATATATATATACATACATAATACATATATTATACTGACCAGATTGGGATGGTGCTACGATTTTTAAATGCAGCAATTTTCCTGATATGTCTTTTTTTTGGTCAGTTAAGATCACACACAATTTATTGATTTAACCCCAAAACCACCATAAAAAAAAAATAAGTATTATAGTACGCCACTGTTCAACAATAGGAAATATAATATACTAAATATTGTTTATGTTATTTTATTTTAATTCGTATTTGTATAAAAAAATGTTTATTTACTTTGCATTATAATATGATATTCGAAATTTATTTTCCTACCTATAAGTAGCAAGTAGCTAACTGAATTGAAAAAATCCAAAATATTAAAAGTATACTAAATACAATTATTTATCTACGTAATTAATGTGGATATCATTATATTATTTTCAAATACGTTTTTTAGATGCGGAAGTCACATTTTATTATTTCCGTGATTTTTGGTATAATTGGTACATGACTTGGTTAGGCGAATTTATTATACGGTATGGCTCATTATTACATCGTTTAACCCACCTACACAATAAATATTAAAAAAAAATAAAGCAATCTACGAGGGTGGTGTCAAAACGGTTAATATTATTATACATAAATACAACGCGTACCCGTCACTACGTTAGCTGTCTGTCAAATCACCACGGGTGACTGGAACTGTTAGTTTTCACGCCGATCCGCCACCCTGAGAGCCTATTATATCATTAACAATAATCCATTGTTTAATATTCAGAATATTTTTTTATTCTCTTGTATGACTTTTGTCGGGGAAACAAAAAAAATGGTAGTTTCTTTTTTCTTTTTTCTGTTTGTTTCCTGAACAAATCCCGACATGCTGCGAACACACGCACGCTGGGTAAAAAATATAAAAAATTACCCTGGTGCATTTACAATAGTTTAATTTGCAATAAAAGCTTTAAACATATATATTTGCTGAAATTATACACCCTCAAGTCATATATGATTGTGTTCGAATCGTATGCATAATATAATAATAAGGACCATATAAAATATTATATCGTAGTCATACGGGGTGGTCTTGGAAATGCGAACTGCATTTAAATGACTGTATAAAAGTCAAATTCATTAATTTCATTATAATATACCTACTATATAGCCTCGCTTCAAATAAATTTCTGTTCGACATTTCCTCAACTATAGAAACCAAATTTATTCGTTTAATATATACTA